TAGCATGGGCTTCCTCATTTACTGCAATGACCTATCTGTTACAGACTGTAAACGCTATGAATTTCTGCACATCACCTTACAATGCTTCTTCGCTGCTCTCTATGTCGTTCTGAATCGTAACAGCGATCGTTCTGTTATCTACAGACTCTTTCAGCCCCAGTACAAGCAGTTGTCGGGCCTGTCTCAAAGATGTCTGGGACACTGCATTGACAGTTCTGTAGAGGGGTGGGAGTCCCGTGTGACAGAGACACCGAACCTCCAGATTACAGCTCAGTTTGTGTCAGGACTTTTATCCCAGCGGCACCATAATCTCCTGCTGGATTGCTGTCCTACTGCTGTGCGGGAACGCAAGGCCAAGCAGGTAGTTAAGTCTTTGTCTAAAAGTATGCAGAGACATTTCAAGTCCATTCCTCGTCCTGTAGAGGGTGAAAAGAAGAGCATGCATGCCATGCCAAGTTTTGTTTGGCTAATTAAGTGTATCTATGAAATGCAAGACAGCAGTATTGCTCAAGATACCATGGCTAAGTTGGACGTTGAGCACCTGAAGCTCACCTACTGTAACATTGGACCAGTGGAATGTACTGCGCTGGCGTATGTGCTGAAGTACCTGCGGAATCCTGTTGGGCTCCAGTTGGACCACAATTCAGTTGGAGATGTGGGCGTGGAGCAGCTTCTTCCATGTCTACATATTTGTCACTCCCTTTAGTAAGAGGTTTTGTTATAATTGTTGCTTAAACGAATAGTTCATCCAAAAATGTAAATTTCATCATCTACTTGTTCTTTCAATTACTCAACCTGAATGCTTTTCTTTACTCTGTGAAACATGAACGAAGACATTTTGAAAATGCCTCTTTTTTTGTCCATATAATGCAAGTCAATTAAGTACAATGTCGTTTGGACCCCAACATTTTTCAAAATATCTTACAGAATAAAGAAGGTAATACAGGTTTGGAGTGATATGGGGAAAAGTACATGGTGACAGATTTTTTCATATATGGGTATTTCATTTTCTTTCTGAAAACTGTTTTGCAAATGGATTTATTAGAATTTCTGAATCCTGCAGTTTAAGGAACAATAACATATCAGATGAAGGAATCCGGAAACTTCTGGAAAAGGGAATGAAGTGTGAAAGATTCCAAAAAATAGCGTGAGAATATTGAACATCTTAACTCTGCATTTTATGCATAACTTATATTTTATTATATTACTTAGCATAACCAAGTTTCATTACTACCTCAATATTTCTGCAGGCTTTTTAACAACAACCTTACAGATGCTTGCACCCAACACTTTGCTTGGCTGTTAAAATCAAAGCAGAACTTCCTGTCTTTGAGGTCAGTGCTTATTTCAGGTCAGGTTATTATGTGCTTTTTCTGGCCAGTGGGATGCTGATTATTTTAACATTTAACATTTTTTTCAGGTTGTACTGCACATCTTGAAACATGTTTCTCATACAAAATATATCATTGTTTTGTAGACTTGGAAATAATAACATCACATCGCAGGGAGCAGAGCAGCTGGCAGAAGGCCTAAGCTACAACCAGTCTTTGCAGTTTCTAGGGTGAGGTCAATAATGAGAGTAGTACATTTTTGTATCTTCCAATACTGTGCCTTTATTAAATTGTATTTCCATTTTGATTTTTTATTTCCAGATTTTGGGGTAATAAAATTGGGGACAGGGGAGCTGAGGCATTGGCAGATGCACTGAAAAATAGCACAACGCTAATATGGCTAAGGTAATCTTGTCTTAGTCCTATATCTTAATCCTATATTACAATAATTCTGCATTCCATGTATACATATGAATAAAAAAGTTTATGCTAAATAGTGAAATTGCCCAGTCAAATGAAACTAAATTTGCAGAGCACCAAGCAATGGTATGCACGCAGCATGTGCTATTTTTTGTGGCTAGTGATAATGTTGGTTTGTTTCAGTCTGGTGGATAATGGTGTGGGCAGCGCAGGTGCATGTGCTCTGGCGAAACTTATCAGTCAGAGCAAAACTCTGGAGGAATTGTGGTGAGTGATTTATTTAATCCACTTTGTTAGTTATTTATTTATTCATTTATTTCTTTATGAGATTTACATGTCTGTATGCCTGAGATTTACATGCCCTCTCTCTCTTTCACTTAGGCTAAATAAAAACTCAATCAGCAGAGAGGGGGTTGAGTGTCTAATAGAGGCACTGAAAATGAACTCTAGTGTTAAGGAAGTCTGGTAAGGTCATATTTAATTATTTTAGCTGACTGTGTGTGCTTGTTTTTACTCAATAAATGTTCATTCATTTCACTTGAGTCAAAGGTCCAATCAGACCAATGTGTGTTTTCTCTAACAGTTGTATTGTATGTTGGTTTTAAATACCTAGTTCAAACCCTCTTAAGTTATATATAAAGTCTGCCAAACTAAATTCCCAATATTATATTTTTTTCTCATCAATGTATAAACGGGTGACGACAATAAAACCACAATAGCATACATTCCGTCAAAACTCAACAGAAGTGTTAACAGACAAGTTAAATTGTGTACTCAAGTTGTCACATGTGAAATGTATACATTTGCATATTATTTATTCATTACAATATTTCTGGCCAAAATAATAGTTAGACATTTTTGTAAATAATTTTTTTATTTTTTACTGTTTAATGAATTATTCATGGTCGTTTAACTGTTTACATTTTGCTGAAAGGATTATAGTCGGGTGTTTAACTGCAGGTTCCATTGTGACATCTTATACCATTCAATCTCAATAGAAATTAAACGCTTTATTACATTAATACCCATGCCCGGTGAATGGCTTTTTGCTCTTTTTTTGCTCTTAAAGGCTAAGAGGAAATAATCTGAGCCCAGAGGAAGAGGAGGAACTAAGCAAGCAAGAAAGCAGATTGACCTTCTGAGGGCAAGACAGCTCTGTAAAGCCTGCCACCAAACTGCCAAATCTAATGCCCATTATTTTCCTTAAAAAAAAAAAAAGACTGGACCTAACTGAGACACACACATATGCACAAGTAGGAAGCAATGGCTTAGCTAGTCAAAAGTGCCTCTCTTGTAAAATGCTTATATGGTGTTGAGGTATAGCTTAAAAGCTAAGTATCCACGGTACTAATCAGAATGTCAGATAGGGCTGGACAATGACCGAAATCCCCTGTTACCATTGTGTCTTGACTCTGTAAAAGTTTCTTTGTAGACAAAAACCTCACAATATTAATAAGGAACATTCAAACTGTCAAGCCAGTACACAATCTGAACTTCTAAAGGAGGGACTGGTAACACACAAGATTTGTATGGCACTGTCCCTTGCACTGATTCCCAGGTTACATTTATTATACATTGTATTTCATAAAAAAAAAAAAATTGTATTGTATATTCATAATCTATTTAAGGTTCGTTACTTGCATCACAGAATGTCAGAGTTTGTTATGATGGTTTTGAATCCTTTTGTTTTAATTACACCTTCTATGACTTATATTAAGTTGCATAATAACCATGGATTTATTTGTTTATTTGTCTTCACACAAAATTCATTAAACATTTGTTTACTGATACAGGAGCTTCCATCTAGGATCAATGTAAAAAAGTACAAAATTAATAATAATAAAAAAATAATTTTAATATGCATCCATATTTGCAGTAATAAATAAGTAATAAAGACCTAAATGCAGAGGCGGACAAAGTACACAACTCTATTACTTAAGTGAAAGTACAGATACTGCTGGTCAAATATTACTCCATTACAAGTGAAAGTTGTAAAGACAGATTTTTACTTAAGTAAAAGTACAGAAGTTTTAAAATACTTAAGTACCAAAAGTACATTTCCTTTTTTATGTCAATGCACTGTTTTATTATTGTTGTATGTAATACTTGCAATACCTCTGAAATAACTTACAATACTGAATACACTGACTAGCTTGTAGTATCTTTGGAATAAAGAGCTTTTAGAATGTTAAAACCGTATCTCACACAGTTCTGACAGTGTGTGCACACATCTATGTGTAGCCATTCATCCACATCTGAACAGAGTGGACAGTGAAATCCTGTAAATACAGAGTGATAAGGAAGAAAATCAAAAATCAAACCTGCTTTAAAACCCAGCAACACAACTGTAGCTGTATAACTTTACAACAGCAACACTGCTTTAACAAAAAAGCAAAACAGCAAGACTTATTTGACATCAAAACTAAAATTATAAAATGTTTTCTAATCATGCTTGCAGTACTTTGATGTCACACACAGAAAGGTCTGTGCAGTGCTGCTTCAGTCAAACACCTTTTGTGTTTTATTAGGAGATGCACAACAGTTCTTCTGTGGCTTTATAGGTAATATTTTCACTTACACAATTTAGCAAAATCAGACAATATATACCACAATATTAACTTCTTAATATTGAATTGTAAATAAATATCACATTTGGAACTGGTCAGTGCTCAAAAAATGCTGGGAAATCATTTCATGTAGCCCTACAAGAGTGATTACTGATCAACTTTCAAAGCTGCTACATAGTAACGACTTTCGAGGATCTTGATAGAAATGCAGTGGAGTGAAAAGTACAACATTTGTCTTTCAAATGTAGTGAAGTTAAAGTCATAAGTTCCTTCAAAGCTGCTACATAGTAACGACTTTCGAGGACCTTGATAGAAATGTAGCGGAGTGAAAAGTACAACATTTGTCTTTCAAATGTAGTGAAGTTAAAGTCACAAGTTTCCAGAAAAAAATATACTCAAGTAAAGTACAGATACTCAAAAAGTGTACTTAAGTACAATACTCAAGTAAATGTACTTAGTTACTGACTGCCTCTGCCTTAAATGCTTGGAAGAACTGAAAGGAAATAAACTGTAATGTACAACCTGACAACCTCCAGTTCCTTAAACTCCTCAGCCAAACTACTGGAAAACCCCAAGAGGCGGGGCGAAATAAAAGACATCCGAAATGACCAATCAGAGATATAGCTGTCACTCACTGGCCAATAGGAGAGCAAGTTTCTCTCCACTACTGTAGCATGTCTGGTTGAGCCTTCAGATACACAATCACACACAGTAAATAATAGTCACACTGATTTCAAATGAAACAGCGGCCTCGGCTCTACCGATATTACCGGATTTTTTTTTTCGTGTTTTCCTCAACGTCTCGCCGAGATTTTCCCCAGCGGTATTAAAGTGCACGGAGGAGGCGGCGGTCCCTCCATTAACCGGTAGTAATGCGGAGTGTAGCCAGCGCTGGCTTCAGCTAAGCCCATTCGACAATGTCACATAAACACCATCATCACTAGCAGCGCCACGAGAGCTTCACTGGAATATTTTTTTTCCAAATGCCATCGAAGACGGACGGGTGAAAACCGGTATATTTAAACGTCAGGTAAGAGGAGTCTGATCAGCTCGTGCTGATGTCACCTGTTTACCTCTAGAGTCTGATACATGATCAGCTTTAGATCTGTAACTGTAGCAGGATCCACTGATTATACATGGCAACACAGCGATGGCATTATATCTAAACCGAGCTCTAGGACTAGGAATAACAGCTAAAAGAGAAGCTGTTAATTTGCGTACCTTGCTGTACCTGATCATTGTTATTTAGTGTAAGGCCTGTCCATCTCTGCTGTATCGTTTTCACCCAGCAGTCACTGTGTAGAGAATGTGCATAACGCTGATGTGATGTTTACATTGGTGTATTACATAATAAATGTCGTGATTGCACTTTTAAAAACCTGTTCATATTGCTAATGCATTACAGGTATATTACAGCGTATTGCAGGTGTTCGCAGCTCTGCATGTTTTCTATGTTGACAAGGCATCAACTTCTCAGATCACTGTCTGTTGAATATTAAAGGATGGATGATGTGGAAGGAAAGACAGTCAACATAAACATTGTTGCTCAAAGCTGGAGGCCTTATGTGATTTAGTATTTTTCAGAGATGTGGTTCACTATTTTACTTGACTTTAAAATAACAGCCGAACAATGGGAATGCTAACAGATTGCTTTGTCCAGGTATTAATGACTTCCTTGAACCTTTTGGCCAAAAATCAAGTAGGGTTGGCTTGACTTAAAACCCCTTGGCGTGTTTGCCCAGATCCCTAATATTTACCAGCATGGCAAACAATGCATAGATAAGATGAAGGGTTATGTTTTTCAAAACTGTGTTGGCCTTTTTGGGATGGCAGGAGATGACATGTGCAATATCTGTAAAAGGTCATGCATTAAGGCATTCGTTGTCTCGTTTTATATTCTTGATAGTAGTCATTATGCAGTAGTGGTATGTGTGCACCATTATTGTGCATACAGGAAGCTCTGAGTGAGATTTAATTCGCTGTGAATTCCCCTGCTTCTGGGGAAAAACCGAACAGTCACTTAAGTCTCAGTGTTGATGCAAGTGTGTTTGGCAGGTTATTGTAATGTCGTGGTCATTGATGAAGTATGACATTTAGCCAAGTCAGTGGTTGTCATGTGATGTTGTATATATATATATATATATATATATATATTAGAGGTTGACCGATAGTGGATTTTACCTAGGTTTTTAGCTAGGTTGGACCAAACTGGCCAATACCAGTTAATCACCCGATAGTTTTTAAAATGGATACTTAACGAAAAATAAATAGTGCATTTATATATATATATAAAAGAGTACTGAACCATACTTTGTACATGAATAAAAATATTAATATAAAATAATAATTATATATTGATCATTAAACTTCTAAATGTAAAAATGTATTAGTAGATGTTGAAATTAACACACACTAACTAGATGGCCAGCTTTAAATATCTACACAAAGGCCATAGCATTGAAATTACATACATATGGATATTGTATATATACTCTCACACTTTAATTGCTTCTATTCTAGAACACGTGATGATTATAGCAAATGACAAAATAGGGCAGTCGCACACCGGGCAAAAAGCGCAAAAGTTGGGCAAAAGTTCACTTCAAAAATGATCGAAAAGTGGCATAGATAAGGTGTTAACCCCCCCCCCGCAAAACAGAAAGAAAAAGCACGATCTATATCTCTCTCTGTGAAGCATACAGACTTTATTAGAGCCACAGAAAGACAAACATTTCACTGAAAAATGGAGAATACACAATTTTACAGCCTAGGCCCTAGGGTGAAGTCATTATGTACATTAACAATGATTTGGGACAAATATGTAATTTAAAATGGAGAATACACAATTTTCCAGCCTAGGGTGAAGTCATTATGTACATTAACAACGATTTGGGACAAATATGTAATTTAATGGAAAACTGTGTGAATGGCGCTCTGTGGCGCGGCAGGATTTCTGTCGGCTGAATGAACGTGTCTGTCTCACGTCATAGCTTTAAACCTGCAATTTCGCTGGATAACAAATGCATTAAAGTGACCAGCTGGATATAAACTAATGCAAATAGATGTTAACAATCGTGACATTAAGCATTTGCATCAGACTTGAATGTGTTTTGGTCACATTAGCCATCCAAAAATTCTAATTAAACTTATGCGCAAAACTGGAATATCGCATAAAACATATGCAAATAAAGCACCGTTTCCATCCAATGAGTCAAAGAGAACAACATCGTCACTTCCTGGTAAACTGTGGCACTAAATATCACTAAGTATATAGGAGAAGCCACTGAATATAATAATTTTCATATATGATAAAAATTACTTGCACCTCAGAGCGAGCAGACGTAACACAATAAATGCTGTCAATGCTTTCGCAGGTGGATGCTGCTGTTTGGTAATGTAGTCGTGTAAGACAATTATTCAGAAATACTTTAACGACAGACTTTGCACAGGCATTTCAGAATGACCATAACAACATATAGATGCTGTGAACGAGATCGGTCCGCTGCTAGTCAAGTTATCCCATCTCATAGTGCAAAGTTCGATGCGCATGGAGGAATTTATTCGATAAATGTGTTTCCATCGTAGTTTATGCACATTTTTTCTTATCGGATAAAAAGTTTGTCCTACTCAAATGTGTGCATAAGTTTTTTATGCGCATCTTGGCGTTTCCATCCAGCGTTTTTTATGCAATATTCCAAAATGGGCATAAAAATAGGTGGATGGAAATGCAGCTATTGTTTTAACCGCTTGAGGTGCTGCTAATGTTCGCGTCCTCTCAGCCTTGAGAGCAAACATACTGCTGTCCTTTCTCCACTAAAATGCAGCATCTAGTCAACAAATGAATTACTTAGTAATGATATGAAAACATGCACTATAGTGCAGTGTGGACACACTGTTTCGTTGTCTGTTTTAAAGTGTCCCGCTTTGTGCAGCGTGCAGTGTCACCTGTCAAAACAAACAGCACGTGGTGCCACTCTTGTACTGTATAACCTAACCAATTTGGTGCCCTAGGCAAGATTTTAGCTGGTGCCCCTTGCATCGCAGCCAATTCCACCACGATCATTCACACGATACATTCATACTTAGCGCATTGTGAACAGTGAGCTTGCTCTGCCTGCTAATTTTCTCCTCTTTGGGTTTACAGACTCTGAAAAAAACAAACAAAAAAAACAACAAAAAAACGTCTTGTTCTGATTTATGGCCGATAGTCGATTGGTGCATCTCTGCTCAAATTCAAATATTAAACTGCTTTTATTTTGGTGGTTTGCCAGCAAATAAATAAATGCGCTGCAATGCATGTTTCAGAGTGAAGTGCTGCGTGTCATGGGCTGCACTCGAACACATTACCCATTTCACTCTGAAAACTGCAGCACATTGGTATTTTTGCATTAAATCGCAACCTTCGCGATATGACTATGGCATTAAGCTATAATGCAATATCGATTATATTTCAATATATAGTGCACCCCTAATTAAAATCATATAAAAAAAAACAAAAAACATTTGGGCACCCCTATGGATGGACGGCACCCCTAGCATTTGCCTATTTCGCCTATGCGACGGGCCGGCCCTGCCTTCAGCCGCTCCAGCAACGGACGCAACCCGCAAAAAACTACTGGCATGGATTTTTGCTGATAGTTCCGGCAGTCAACTATTAGTGCAAAACCGATACATCGGTCAACCTCTAGTATGTATGTATGTGAGTGTGTGTGTGTGTGTGTTTTTTTTTGTTTTTGCTCCCATTTTTCATGAGCTGAACTCAAAGATCTAAGACTTTTTCTATGTACACAAAAGGCCTATTTCTCTCAAATATTGTTCACAAATCTGTCTAAATCTGTGTTAGTGAGCACTCTCCTTTGCTGAGATAATCCATCCACCTCACAGGTGTGGCATATCAAGATGCTGATTAGACAGCATGATTATCTGAGACGGTTTATGACAGTTTGTGCAGAAATTCTTTGGTTATGCAAACCCAAATTGTTGCAGCAGCTGTCCGGGTGGCTGGTCTCAGATGATCTTGGAGGTGAAGATGCTGGATGTGGAGGTCCTGGGCTGGTGTGGTTACACGTGGTCTGCGGTTGTGAGGCCGGTTGGATGTACTGCCAAATTCTCTGAAACGCCTTTGGTGACGGCTTATGGTAGAGAAATTAACATTCAATTCACGGGCAACAGCTCTGGTGGACATTCCTGCAGTCAGCATGCCAATTGCACGCTCCCTCAAAACTTGCGACATCTGTGGTATTGTGCTGTGTGATAAAACGGCACATTTTAGAGTGGTCTTTTATTGTGGCCAGCCTAAGGCACACCTGTGCAGTAATCATGCTGTCTAATCAGCATCTTGATATGCCACACCTGTGAGGTGGATGGATTATCTCGGCAAAGGAGAAGTGCTCACTAACACAGATTTAGACAGATTTGTGAACAATATTTGAGAGAAATAGGCCTTTTGTGTACATAGAAAAAGACTTAGATCTTTGAGTTCAGCTCATGAAAAATGGGGGCAAAAACAAGTGTGTTGAGTTTATAATTTTGTTCAGTGTATGACTATCCTAACTATGCACAAGCATAGAAGCATTTTATTATTTGCATTTAGTGTTATTTTTCCCCTGCTCTATGAAACCCTGTCAGAACAGATGTGCGACCTATTTTTGGGTTGCGACCCACCAGTTCAGATACACTGATTTAAAATATGATTTAAAATATGTTGTGTTGAATTCTTCCTAAAAAGTTTTACGGAGAAAAAAAAACAGCCGAGATGGGTTTAGGTAGAATGTTAATGCTAAAGTATTCTGGTGTATAAGAGGTTGAAGCAGACAGATCTCAGTGTCCTGCAGCAGTCTGATTGTCTGACGCCATGGAATTTCCATTCAGATCACTTCACTCATGCATTGCTGTTTACGACAACTTTGTGTTCCTTAAGAAGAGAACCATGTTCAAAAGGCTCTGACTAGGTGTGTTACATTTTACACTGTTCACTTCATTCATTTGCATACATTATATTGAAAATAGTTGTCATAAGCCATATTCTGTTTTTATTTGCTTAATTTACTTAAAATCATATGAACATTACTAAAATAAAACTGTGACACAATATTTAACAATATTATTCTGGTTTTGACAGCATTTTGATATTGAACTGTTCTCATATTCATTAACCTTATGTTAAGTGCCTGAATTTTAACCTCGTTTAGGCATATCTGCAGTAGTGGAGTCTGCATGCATCCTTGCACAATGTTCCCAGCCATGGCCTTGCAGTTGCTAATTATGATAATAATATGGCAAATGCTAGTGGGTCACTGCTAGTTCCCTGGAGGGGAGCAGGAACGATTGGTCAGAGCTGGTAATTTTAGGTGGCAACACGAAGGGTACCAAAGTCCCTTTAAGGCTAGTCAGTTCACTCGGCAGCCATAATTGTAACACCCCCAGACAGCTATTTCCAGCCATGCAAGTATAGATCCTATTTATCTCCTTGAATGGAAAAAAGACAAACTCAATGTAACTGTTTGTCGACCTGGTATTTAATACCATATTTGAAATCAGAAATACAATCTAACAAAAATTATAAATTGTGATTTTTTAAATCAAAAAAGGCAAAAATTCCTTCTGAAACTGTTGCTTTTGGTGACATGAATAAGTATAGCATTTAAATTGAGGATTTGATATATATATTTATGTGGCCAAATGTAAGATGTAAGTTAAATGTAAGTTAGATCGGATAGCTATCTGATCAGTAAAAATGCATGAAGTGGCCAAGTGTAAATAGGCCCAAACAAATTATTGGCTTTGAAAAGCGGGACTCAGTCAAATTCATCTTTAAAATGGTTTATTTTGTTGTTGTTTTTTTGGCCAATGAATCACACTCAAAATACAAGTGTATGGAGTGGACAGAGTTTGTAACCATAACTGTACAAAAGCGCACAAAAAGAACTTGGTGTGTCTAAAGGCCCAATTTACTTTTTTCATTCTTCAATTAGAGGTAAATTGAAGTTTTGAAAATGCTGCTGGAACCACTTTATACAATAGGTTGCTTTAAAGCAAGCAGCTTTACAGTATTAAACATGCAAAAACAGTGTCACTGTTGCCTTCAGTTAAAATTACAATGTCCGTTTCTACTATAAAGCAGCTCAACTATAGCGTGTTCATGTTTTTACCCGCTTCTGACCTTGACGGACGGAACAGAAGAAATGGAGAAGATTTCTGTGTCAGAAGGCAGAGCCCCAAAGCACACCTACCTATTACATAATCGCCACAGGCCAGTGGTAGTTGTAGATTACACCAGCTGTATTACAGCTGGAGCATACTTTCCCAGAAAGTTTGCTTTGGCAAGCTGTTTTGAATTCCTGAACGGAACTCAAAACAAAACTTGTTTTTGCCTGATTTTGTAAGAAATGACGTCACACCAGTTAGTTCTTTGGTTTTGCTTAGAGATCGACCGATATGGGTTTTTCACTGGCCGATGCCGATATTTAGAAATCAGGGCAGCCGATGGCCACTATATGATGCCGATTTTTTTGGCCGATTTTCTTTTTTTCCCCCCTTCTTATAAAAGTGAGTTTGAGTAAATTATTTGTCATTTAAATGATAAATGACTTTATCAGGCATTACAGGAAAGACGAAATGAAAATGACATCGAAGCTTTTCTGAAGACGGTTGGTTCTTTTCAAAGATACATTCATATAAAAACACCTGCACTGCATTTTAATTTTGAAACGTGCAGTGCTCAGTTTATTCAACGAAGTATTAGCCTTTTGGAAAATAACTCAATATATGGGAAACACTAGACACTGCTATAAGTCAAATGGCCAAGTGATAACAAAAATAAAAGAGTTCACACATTTTACACCGCCTGCTGCTCAAAACTGCTTAAGAGTCCACTGGCCACGAGCGATGACATCGTGGATGCTATTGTCGGACCTACACACACATTTCACGAGGAAAGTTAACCTGCACGTTATAATCAGCCCAGAAGTTTCGTCTGAATTGCATGTGTTTCTGCATTCACATGCAAATGACGTGTTGCTCTTATGAATATGATAACTTTCCGACATCAATTCTAGTAGGGTAAAATGTAGTTACGCTTTCGAAACAGTTTGTTTTGCCCTGCCATCATTAGCTGAAGCTGTCTGTGAACAAGAAGCGGCTACAGAGTGTTAGTTGCGCCATCTCTCACGCAGCCAGAGAGAGATTCTCCTGCATTCCGTAAATAAGATGTAAATAAGATCAAGACCCTCGATCATGTCATGATCTATTCTGTTGTGCAGTGCTCAAAATTGGGGGCAACGTAAGCCAGTTCCACCGTAAAATGACCTCTGAATCATTTTTTTAACTGGTTCATTAAAACAATCTATCCGAAAGAACCTTTTCGTGGAGACGAATCAGACTTCTAAACACTATTAGCGAGCAAGAGGCAAATGGGTGCTTCTCAAAACGGAAGGCTGCATCCTCCAACTCAGATGAGCTCAGTACCAACTTTTCATTGTTTATTTTCGTGAATTGACATTCAGTGACGTGTGATGGTGTAGCAGCCGAGATATGCAGCCTTACGATGCAGCCTTCCGTTTGAGAGGCACCCATAGATAAGCTTTGTTGAACTGAAAACGGCTCTTCCAACCTTTGGAATTGACTAGGCCTGTCACGATATCAACTTTTTGTTGTGCAATATATTGCCCCAGAAATAATTGCGATAAGCGATATTATTGTCATTTTAAAGACCATTTTATGCCACTGAATATGTAATCATAATGTAACAGCATAATAATGCAAGAAGGCCTACACACTTCCAAATGACAACAAACTTTTAATTTTGAAGAATATTTAGATCATGGAAATTAAGTATCAAAATATTAGATACCTTAAAAAAACTTAATAAATAGACATGTTCTAACAAAAAGTGCAATGTAACAAGTAGAAAAAAAAGAAAAATTCACAAATAATTGTCTTGAGATTTTTTCATCTAAAGATTTTTCCTGGACCTTATTTTCTCTGTAAATTAAGGGTGCACACTATTGCTGAAAAACACAATCACTACTCAGCAGTCAGATGTCCGTATGCACAAAGGCACAGATCCCTAAACAAGGCCATATCTGCAGATGAAATTTTTTTGTAGAAGTATTTTTTAAAAATTTGAACTAGCACCAACTACACCACGCTATATACGAGAAGCTGCAAAAGACACAGGCGCAAGCGGAATGTACAAAACATGGTGACATTAATTTTTAAGTAAATATATTGGGCGATATATTGCGTCACCAAAAATTATTGAGGTCATGTACATATACTGCGAGATAAGTCGATATATTAATTATTGCGACAGGCCTAGAATCAACTCTCGATTCCCAAAGCCTCGGAATCGAGGAATCGATTATTTTTGGAATCGATTCCGAGCCCTAGCTACTGGCACTGGATTAATTACAATATGTAGTATTAACGTGATACCAATATTTCATTTTTTAATGATCACAGTTCTCGTCAATACTGGTATATTGCCCCCCCCCCCAATATTACGTAAGAGTGGATCTGTTGCAGACTGTGACAAAAACATGAGCTAAGAGACACTAGACAAACAAAAACTAGAACTTTGTTCTTTAACCTTTAACCTTTATACTTCATACTATTTCTTAAATATTCTCTTTCTCTCTTTTTCCAGCTCTTTTTGTCCATTCAGTCGATCCATCCCATTGAAAAGGTCATGAAAGCCCCCTCTTCCAAGTGTCAGTGACCCCTGATGAGCCACTGATCTTTGACGTGTGTTCCTGTCATCTTCAACCCTCTCCTGCTATGCAGCCATGAGCTCTGCGCTATGGAGCCAGGAGAAGTCAGCAGGCAGTTTCCGGGATGACTGGCGCTTCTACATTGTTGTAAAGGAGTGCACTGTGGAAAAGCCAGGCCAGAAGACTCTGCGCATCCCACGTGGCAGCCTCGGCCAGGCCTGCCAGGAGCGCAACAGCCTTGGTCGCACAATCCCGCCCAGCAAGGGTAAGCGCAGCCTACGCATCCTGGACCAGACTAATGTGGTGGTTAGCGTGGATGAACGGGACGTTATGGAGCTTGAGGAGAAGCTGGCAGAGCTGCTGTTCCCCATCACCAACTGCGAAGAGCGCTACAGCCTGCTGTGCAACAGAGCACGTCTGGACAGGGCCCGCGACATCAACTGCGGATCAAAAGTTCGAGTGCAGTTGAGGTTCGGCGACCAGCCCCTTCCAGGCGTGGTCCGCTTTAAAGGAGCTTTGCTGCCCGACAGAGCACTGAGTGGTATCTGGTTTGGTGTTGAATTGCTGGTGAGCAACACTGTTTGTCTTGTTTGACGTTGTTTGTCTGGTTTTGGGTTCACCTGGTCCTTGAGCGTGTGATCATTACAGAACAAAGCTGCATTTGTCTCCGGGGCTTAGCTGGGAGATTTGGACGAACATAACCTAAGCCTGTAGGCTGCTTTTGTGGGTGAAGACCAGTCTCAAACCTATCATCACACATCAACAATGCCTTTTGTTTTTATGGCACATACGTGATGTTATTTATGTGAGTTCTGATGTCTGTGTTGGTGAATGTAATGTCCTTTTCTCCTCTGTCTTTCAGGAGGAGGGCAGAGGTCAAGGTTTCACCGAGGGCTCTTATCAGGGTCAGCAGCTGTTTCGCTGTGAAGATGAATGCGGTGTCTTTGTTGCACTGGATAAACTTGAGCTCTGGGAAGATGATGAGCTGGAGGTAGATCGTGTGACGCTAGAGGATAATGACCCGGAAGTGGAAGGCGAAGGGCCGCCACTGGAGATCAACTCTCGAGTGTTGGTGCAGACGCGGGAAGGCCCAGAACGGGGCACTGTTATTTTCTGTGACTTACTCCCTGGCAACGAGAGTCTTGGATACTACGTTGGTGTTGATATGGTAAATTGATTAGACTGTTGAGTTGGTGAATAACTGTTTTTAGCTCTGGATGTTTAATATTACAGTTTTCATTAAGCAATGTATTTGTTCAGGCAGACCAGATATTTAAGATGGTGCTTTTTAAGTAAAGTTTTTATTAAGAAAACATCAGGGATGCACAGATATACAAATTCTGGCTGATACGATGAGACAGTATTCATGTTTCATGTTTTGGCTGCTAATTCATTAATTCTATATAATTTTGTCTAAATAAATTCTTCCTGAGATTTGATAAAGATTGCATTAAATTGAGTGTTTTTAAAGATTATCTTTTTGTGATGGTACCAATATATGGTGCATCTCTTGAAAATGCACTACTGTTCAAATGTTTAGGGTCATTAAGATATTTAAAGAAATATTACTTCTATGTAGCATGGCCATATTAAATTTATAATGACATTCATAATGTTATGAAAAATTTATATTTCAAATAAATGCTGTTCTTTTGAATTCATCAAAGAATCCCGAAAAAAAAGAAAAAGTTTTTTGAACACCAAATCAGCATATTAGAATGATTTCTGAAGGATCATGTGACACTGAAGACTGGAGTAATGACTGCTTAAAATACAGATATGTCATCACAGGAATAAATTACGTTTTAGAATATATTATAATAGAAAACAGTTATTTTAAGTTGTAATAAAATTTCACAATATTACTTGTTGCAGACGTTGTGAGCATAACTTTTATAACATTAAAAACATGAACACATCTTTATGTGTGTGTGTGTGGGCAAAACGTCTTGTCTTGGTTAATGTCTTAAAGCTACCACTCTTCCTTAATTTATCTGTTAAATGAAAGGAATCTGTAAATGTGGTCATCAGGGTGTAACCTGCTGCTTTATGTGTGATGCTGTTTATGATATTACCAAAATCATGTCAAAGTATTAGTATATTGTATCACAGAAAATGTATGCCATGTTATATTTGTTGGAAGTTTTACCCAAAAATGTTTTATCTTTTTCATAATTATAAAGTAGTACTTGTTTGAAAAAAAGAAAAATGACATTTTGTTTTTTTTATTTGGAACTCGCACCCAGAAAAATCAGATTATTAAATTGTTAATGCTATTGGACAAAGCCATACAATACAATGACCTTGAAATCTATATTTAAGCTGAAAAGAAAAAAGAAAATCTCCTTTGGCCCATGTAAGAAAGATAATCTTAAGGATTTTGAACAACAAGAGTAAATTATGATTTTTTTTCTTTTAGGCAAGCTATTTGCTTGTATGTATTTATTTATTTAGTCATTTATTAGACGCTTTTATCCAAAGCGACTAAATGAGGACAACAGAAGCAATCAACTGTAGTATTAAAACAACTAAAAACAGATCCAAAACTAAAAGCTAAAACTTTATAAATACTAACTTACTTATACCCATTTTAAAAATAAAGAGATTAAGTAGAAGTGACAAATGCATACAACAAAATTTCAAAACTTAACATTTAAATGAAAAACAAAAAAATAAAGCTAAAAACAATTAAAAATATTAAAGAACAAAAGGTATAAGAGTATAATAATGATTCTAACATAACACTAAGCCAAACACCAAAAAAACAACTACATGTGCATGTACAACCACACACACATGCATATATACTGTATATGTACTGTACATACACATTTATAAATTCAATATATATATTATTTCATTTCCATTTAGTTTGTTGAAGTATTAAAATAACTCAAATTAAATAAAACTAAAAACTTAATAAAATACCTATAAATACATAATAAATTCAGACATAATGTAACTAAAATTAAAATAAATAACAAATACAAATAATTCAAATCAAATGACAGTAGTTTATCAGTAATCCTAAAAAATAACACTGCCTATAGGCCTGTTTTTGTGAGTGGAGTGTGTGTAGCTCTCTTTGTTCCCTCTATTTATTGATTTGTTTGTGTGTGTGCATGTGTGTGTGTGTGTGTGGGCAAAACGTCTTGTCTTGGTTAATGTCTTAAAGCTACCGCTCTTCCTTAATTTATCTGTTAAATGAAAGGAATCTGTAAATGTGGTCATCAGGGTGTAACCTGCTGCTTTATGTGTGATGCTGTTTATGATATTACCAAAATCATGTCAAAGTATTAGTATATTGTATCACAGAAAATGTATGCCATGTTATATTTGTTGGAAGTTTTACCCAAAAATGTTTGATCTTTTTCATAATTATAAAGTAGTACTTGTTTGAAAAAAAGAAAAAAGAAAAATGACATTTTGTTTTTTTTATTTGGAACTCGCACCCAGAAAAATCAGATTATTAAATTGTTAATGCTATTGGACAAAGCCATACAATACAATGACCTTGAAATCTATATTTAAGCTGAAAAGAAAAAAGAAAATCTCCTTTGGCCCATGTAAGAAAGATAATCTTAAGGATTTTGAACAACAAGAGTAAATTATGATTTTTTTTCTTTTAGGCAAGCTATTTGCTTGTATGTATTTATTTATTTAGTCATTTATTAGACGCTTTTATCCAAAGCGACTAAATGAGGACAACAGAAGCAATCAACTGTAGTATTAAAACAACTAAAAACAGATCCAAAACTAAAAGCTAAAACTTTATAAATACTAACTTACTTATACCCATTTTAAAAATAAAGAGATTAAGTAGAAGTGACAAATGCATACAACAAAATTTCAAAACTTAACATTTAAATGAAAAACAAAAAAATAAAGCTAAAAACAATTACAAATATTAAAGAACAAAAGGTATAAGAGTATAATAATGATTCTAACATAACACTAAGCCAAACACCAAAAAAACAACTACATGTGCATGTACAACCACACACACATGCATATATACTGTATATGTACTGTACATACACATTTATAAATTCAATATATATATTATTTCATTTCCATTTAGTTTGTTGAAGTATTAAAATAACTCAAATTAAATAAAACTAAAAACTTAATAAAATACCTATAAATACATAATAAATTCAGACATAATGTAACTAAAATTAAAATAAATAACAAATACAAATAATTCAAATCAAATGACAGTAGTTTATCAGTAATCCTAAAAAATAACACTGCCAAACACACATGCTAAAAAACAACTTACCTACACATAGTAAGAAATGGTTATAAAAACTGAAACAGAAGCGAAACAAGTAATACAAGTAATAGTAATAGTAAAACAATAGTTGTATTGAAACCTGTGTGTATATAATTGTTTGCAGAATACTCCATGCAAGATCAGAGGCTGCCCAAAGTCTTTGCCTGCAGGGGCGGCAGTGACAAACCTGGCAGCCAGAGCAAACCAAAGAGTAAAGGTATTAATCCTGTAATATCTAAATACAGTTGCTGGAAATAAGTTTACAACACCAAACATTTTAGATACCAATGGAATTTCACTATTTCAATAAAAGATCTCAAGTAATTATTGAAAAAAGTAAACAATCAATGACAAAAGATATTCAGTCAAGAGCAGTGAGTGATTTTTCTCTTTTTCTTTTGTTGTTTTATTAACACTAACAGCATAAACTGCAGCAGCAGGTATATTAATATAATGTCACTTCAGTCCTAATATACAGATACGATATATTATTGATAAATTTTTTTTTTACTCTTTACGTTCACTTAAGACATAACCAACTGTGTTTATGTGAATACTCTCCAAGATGGACATTTGATATATCTTGTGAGTATTTAACCATTTAGCCATAAACCCCAGTGACTAGCAAAGATTTACTAAGCAGGATTTTGGGTGCATGCAGCATGAGCAACAGTTGCACGCTGCCAGCAAAACCACCTGCATTTTGCCACTTCCCATGTTTTCTTGAAAAATAAACTAGACACTCGCCACTGCTGTGTCCCTTATATATTGCTGATGTTATATTATACATTTTACGGTGATTATCTCATTTTGGTAATATTTTACATAATTTGTTACTGAGCTTGCATGTCCAGTTACACACTGTATTTAAAACATACATAACTGTACATAACTGTACTGCAGTTCTCTCTCTATATATCCGCTGGACTCTTCTTTACAGTGTTGTTAGAGATCCCCAACATAAAGATCATATGCGCTTGTTAAAAGTATTGAATCTGTATTTACTCAATGTAATGAAAATCTGTGGTTTTTAAAACCAGTTTGAAAGAAATGCTTTTGTTAACGAACTAATGTTTTGTTTAAATGTGTAAATTTGTCCTTAATTCTGTCCTAATGGATCATGTGAAATCTTCACCAGACTTGTTATTTCGGCAAGAATACACACAAAATGAGTTGGTGAACATGTAATCCCACATGTATTCCCTCTTTCTATCTCTCTCTCTCTCTCTCTCTCTCTCTCTCTCTCTCTCACACACACACACACACACAAACACACACACACTGTTTACTGTCTTCCTATCGTAACTCTTATTCAGGGTTAGGCCTGCAGCCTGGCAGCAGGAGCAAGTCTGAGTTTTATTATACGCTAAATGGCAGTTCGGTTGATCACCCTGCCCAGTCCAAAGCCAAAAGCACATGGTACATAGATGAAGGTAATCAATAATCAATACAGATGGAAGACTGGGAAACTCTACAAATAAACATCTTAACAGCAAGGTGCCTTCCTGCTAATATCTTGCCTAAAATTAGCCCACACTCAACTTTAGTTACTTTTAATAGTCTTGGCATGAATAAGTAACCACATGTTAATCAGTGCATCAGCAGTGATTTGAAAAGGCAACTTGCTGCTGAGATCTTTTATTAGGAGTCCGGTTCACTATGACATGAGTGGCACATGACCTCATAGCATGACATTGATCAGAAATCAAATATCTCAGGTGTCATTCTGAATGTTCTGTACTACAGTCATTTGTGTTTGCACATTCAGTTTTCAACTACATGTAGTTATAAGGCAATGATTAAGTTATGAGTAATTAATGACTATGAATAATGAGTAAATTAGTAATTAATTGACTCACGTTTAAATCAGTTAAAGTAATTACCGGTATTTATTTTGTATTTGTGATCTTTTTTTGATAAGAAACTGCATTCATTTGTTAATTGAAGCACACATAGAATGCTTAGAATTTGTGGCCAGTTTTATGTATGATTTGTGAAAGCCTTTTATATTTTGGTATTAGGCATACTTGGTATATCTCCACTCATCCATTGTGTAATTGTGTGTTTGAATGTGTGTGTTTGCCATTGAACACAGACTGTATTCCTTATAACATTGCTTTCATCTGTGTAATAATTTCATATTTCATGCCACTCTTTACTAACATGCACTGTTGGAGAATGTTGCAGGGGTGGTCTGTGATTAGTTAAGGGGTTCATATTGTGTGGCCTGTTATGCTTTCATTCTCATTCTCATTCACCAGGCTGTCATTCTTCCAGGGGTGACTTTTTTTGTAGCCCAATGTTTCTCATTTCATGTGTATGCTTCAGTGAGGAGAAAAGCACTAATCAGCTTTGAATGGACATCATGTTTTGGTTAAGCTTTTTTAGTGAACACTACCGTTCAAAAGTTTGGGTCAGCAAGATTGAATTTTTTTTGCTTTTTAACGAGGATGCATTAAATTGATCAAAAGTGACAGTACACATGCACACATATATAAATATATAATATTTCTATTTCAAATAAATGCTTTTTTAAAACTTTCTATTAATCAAGTAATGGATTTTTTTTTAGCTGTTTTCAATATTGCTATTAAGAAATGTTACTTGGGCACCACATCAGCATAGAGTGATTTCTGAAGGATCATGTGACACTGAAGACTTTAAAATGTATTCAGATAGGAAACTGATATTTTAAAATGTAATAATATTTGGCAGTATTACAGGTTTACTTTATTTTTGATCAAATAAATGCAGCCTTGGTGAGCATAAGAGACTTCTTTCAAAAACAAACAAACAAAAAAAAAAACCCCAAAATTTTGAACGGCAGTATATTAATGTAAATCACCTTAATGACAGATGATTGTTGAAGATGCTCTTTTGAAACATTATCTGTGAATCCATTTATGATGACGTCAACTGGTCAGTTTATATTGGTTAAACAATTTCTGGTCCTCCACACTGATGCATCATCTGGTTATCATGACCTCTAGGTACAGCCTCTTATTTGTTTGGCTTTGTTTCTTGATAGTCGGCGAGGACCCGGCCAAATCCCTGACGGACACCCCCCCAGACTTCAACCCAAGCTCGTCTCCTTCTCGAGCTCCACCCATACCCTCCTCACTGTCCAATGATAACAAGTTCCACTCCCTGCCCTTTAGCTTGAGCCACAAAGTTGGCCCCAGTGGGAGCATGAGCCACGGCCCTCTCTCCCTGTCCGCTGGCTCAGTGATGGGGGAGCAGCAAGAGGTCCTGCCACCTGCTACCACTCCTGTCCAGAGGCCTCCGTCGCCAACACAAAGCCAGCCAGGGTTAGAGGTCGGGTCATTGGTGGAGGTTAAAGAGAACCCACCGCTGTGTGGGGTCATCCGCTGGGTTGGTCTACCTCCAGGACTTCAAGAGCCGCTAGCTGGGCTAGAGCTGGTCAGTAGGTGTATGTGTGTTTGCTGTACTGTAACTATAAGTTAATATAAATACACCACCATTTAAACATTTGTGGTCAGTGAGGTTTTTTCTTCAGACATTAATACTTTTATTCAGCAAGGATCAAAAGCGACAGTATAGACTTTGACATTATTACAATAGATTTCTGTTTTAAATAATCAAGAATCCTGAAAAAAATGTTTCACAATTTCCAAAGCAAAACTGTTTTCAGCCTTTATAATAATTAGAAATGTTTCTTGAGCACCAAATCAGCATATTAGAATGATTTCTAAAGGATCATGTGTACTGAAGATTGGAGTAATGGCTGATATCACAGGAATAAATTAAATTTTAAAATGTATAAAAAAAATTTTTTTTTAATATTTCACAATATTACTGTTTTTACTAAATTTTTTGATCAAATAAATGCATCTTCGGTGAGCATAAGAGACTTTCAAAAACATTTAAAAAATCATACTCCGTGTGTTTAGGAGGAGGAGTGTGTGGGCTGCACTGATGGAACGTTTAAAGGGATTCGTTATTTTACGTGTCCACCAAAGAAAGCTCTGTTTGTCAAACTGAAGTGCTGCAGGCCTGACTCACGATTTCCATCCTTACATCATTCACCCAACCCCATAGAACGATGCAACTCCATAGGTAAGAAACACACTTTAATTGTCAGAGTCCATGTTCCTATGCTTATGATAGGCCTACAGTAAACCAGATTAAGGGTTATTTAATGTTAATGTCCAGTGCTGTACAAGCTTTATAAACAGCATTTGCAGCATAATGTTGATTTATCAAAAAACAACAACTTTTTTTAAGAGCAAAAATTGCAGTTACATTAACACTCTTCTTAATTTTCTGTGTTCTGCTCTGTCTAGTGCATAATTGAAAGCACAAGCCTGTAAAAATATACTCTGTTGACCCTGAATGCAGAAAGACACATTCTGCTTGTGCAAAGTATGCACTTTGTTTTTGAGGCTCAGATCACTAGTACATACTGATGATGTGATTTGATCTCCACACAAACAAAAAAAAATCAGGCTGCACATGGATAGTGTGCAGACAACAGCAGATTGTTCTGATGGCAAAAATTACGGCACACAGTCTGTCCATGAGCTGGAGTGGAACGCGGACAAGATGAATATACTTTTGGCATAACAGTGGAAGTAAATAAACCAGCATTCCAGCATTAGTTTTAGTTAAATAAATGTTTATTTTTTGATCTGTAAAGTTTTCAAAATCCTTTGTATGTATACATTTTTAAAGTGGATGAACTGGTGTGCATTGCAGACATGTAGGTGTAGTTATCTCCATGTAAACTGCTTTACTTATAGTTGTGTCATGTCTTTTTCTGGTATCTTTTTGTAAATCATGCATAAGCATATGTCACCATGACAAAGCAGTTTGAATTAAACTTTACACAGACGAGAATAGGAAGTGATTATGTCATACTAGTATTATGTATTATAAATAAATTTTGGCTATACATTGAAAACAGCATGTTTTCATAATTTATATTGAAGTTTTTTTTTTTTTTTAAGTATATTTATGTTGAAGTTTATTCTGTGTAGCAATTAACATTTGCACTGACAGTAGATCTTAACATGTTGATGTCAGAACACTTTTTTTTTTTTATTATTATTTCTGTACACTGAAGCTTACATCGTACTTAATCGATATGACTGATCAATATGTTTTTTTTCCTGCAGCTTTTGGGGGTTACCTAAGCGAAGTAGTTAATGAGAACACTCCTCCTCGGACAGAAAATGATGGTTTGGAGGTGATGGTGGGGAAAAAGAAAGGAATACAAGGACATTACAACTCCTGCTATCTGGACTCTACTCTGTTCTGGTGAGCACACACACACCCAAACACACACTGGCTCACACACACAAAAGTGAGGACTCTCCATAGGCATAATGTGTTTTCAATCATGACAACTCTCAGTAGATTTTAGCATGGTGATGGATATAACAATGTTAATGTATTTGGTCTTGGCGGAATAGACCTGCTACGCTGCTATATTTATGTTGAAGTTTATTCTGTGTAGCAATTAACATTTGCACTGACAGTAGATCTTAACATGTTGATGTCAGAACACTTTTTTTTTTAATTATTATTTCTGTACACTGAAGCTTACATCGTACTTAATCGATATGACTGATCAATATGTTTTTTTTCCTGCAGCTTTTGGGGGTTACCTAAGCGAAGTAGTTAATGAGAACACTCCTCCTCGGACAGAAAATGATGGTTTGGAGGTGATGGTGGGGAAAAAGAAAGGAATACAAGGACATTACAACTCCTGCTATCTGGACTCTACTCTGTTCTGGTGAGCACACACACACCCAAACACACACTGGCTCACACACACAAAAGTGAGGACTCTCCATAGGCATAATGTGTTTTCAATCATGACAACTCTCAGTAGATTTTAGCATGGTGATGGATATAACAATGTTAATGTATTTGGTCTTGGCGGAATAGACCTGCTACGCTGCTGCTGTTGGTTATTGCTGTAGTTGTAGATTATTGCTGCTGCTGCAAGCAAGTACAGGAACTTGCTACTGCCAATGCATACGGCGATATGGTGCCGTGAGTATTTAAGACATACTGCTGCTGCACAAATAGCATATAAAATAACCCGTAGCAGATCTATACAGGTGGAGCTGGGGAAGGTGGAGGGTTTCAGAGAAACTCTGAAAGCGCACTGCAGGAATCTCTAGTGAATGCTAGCCAGCCATATAAATGCAAGGCAGCAAGCTCATTGGCTGCATATGCAGCATGAACCAATCAGCTTGTGCCAAGTAGTTTAACTCTCTGAATATCATCGGTTACGTTAACAACCCGTCAGCCTGCGTTTCATGACTGAACTATGTATTTATACTGTACAAACCGTATATTCTCTCATCCTACACCTAACCCTACCCCTCACAGAAAACTTTCTGCATTTTTACATTCTCAAAAAAACAAATTCTGTATGATTTATAAGCTTGTTTCCCCATGGGGACCTCAGTTTAGGTCCCCACGGTGACACGAGTCCCCGTGAGTTGGTGTGTATTCAGGTTTAAGTCCCCACTGGGATAGAAAAACATGTACACACACATACACGTGTTTACACAGTTAAGTGCGGGAATTACTTTATGCATTACACATTACATTTGTTTAACACTACTGCATTGCATAAATTTGCATACAAGATGATTTCTTAATGTTAAATTTGTAAATATTCTTCTGTCTCTTTCTGTGTGTCAGTCTTTTCTCCTTTAGTTCTGTGTTGGATACGGTGCTCCTGAGACCAAGATCTAAGACTGATGTAGAATATTACAAAGAGACACAAGATTTACTACGCACAGAAATAGTCAACCCACTGCGAATGTGAGTGGCACAGAATGAAAACATTCTACAATTAAGCATTGATCCAAATATTCCCTTTTACTCATTCTCTGTGACAGAACTGGTTGTAATCTTTTATTAATCTGTGTGAATTTGTTAGACATGGCTACGTGTGCGCCACTAAAATCATGAAACTTAGGAGGATATTGGAGAAAGTGGAGGCAGCGTCAGGATTCACTTCAGAAGAGAAAGGTGAGAATAGTCTCAGGCCATGTCCACACGTACACAGGTATTTTTATAAACAGAGTTTTTCCTTCTTTTTCGTTTTTAAAAAAATCTCTGTCCACATGAAAACGCAAACGCATGCTATGAAGCACTGTCAAGAGCATGCCAAACCAACAGGTGGTGATATAATCTCAACCATAAAGCCATGTTGGCCAATCAGAAGCCTGAAAAAGTTTCCAGTAGGCGGAGATAACAGCGCAGGCTCCGTCATTCCACAAGCCAAAAACTCCGGTTTCGCTGCCTACATGATAACACTGCAACCGGAGTTTTTGAAATCTTTACCCTGGCAGGCGTTTTCAAAAATGTTCAATTTCAGTGACCTGGTGCTGCTTTTGTGTGTGGACCAGAAAAAGCTGTGGACAGGGCCTCAGTGTCTTTCAAAAGATATGTATTGATAAAGAAATACTGCCCTCTAGGGGTGCAAACAGAAGCTGATGTGTGAAAATCAAATTAGCTTTTGTGATATTTTCATTTTGAGTGTCTGTGATCTTGAGGAACAACACAGAAGGGTAGAACATCGATTATTAGAGGTGCACCACTATGATTTTTACAGGAAATGTTTATACTACATTGTACTGGTTGGAAAACATTAAGAAATAATATTTTCAGCTACACAGTATGACAGTAATATAATGATGTCAGATTTCTTGTAATGTTATTATGTCATCACTTGTTCTTAGATTTTTGAGAACACGCTATCCCCTCAGAAACTGTTATTATGATACCAAGTAGTTTGGGTGGGATTTAAAAAAAAAAAAGTTCAATTACTTCATAGAAGCTTTTAAGGATCTTTTATCTTGAATACCTCCTGCTGTTTTAGGGAACATCGTGCAAACATACTTAAACACAGGTGGCGTCTATTATGTCCACTTTGTACTTCTATAAAGTTATCACACACTGCCCTGTTATGACACAGAGAACATTCCATTCTTAATAAAATAAGAGTAAATAGTTAGAGATAAAGTTATAAACTTTTATAAGAATGCTAATTAAATGCACAATATTTATTTTACTGTGTATTTATCTGACAGTAGTCAAAGTTATATTTATTTATTGTACTTTATTTATAGTGCATTTAACTACTGTGTACTAACATTTAAATTAATAATTTGATAAGCTGCACTTATTATATACATACATGTTTTTACATTGTACTTTTATTAAAACAAAATAAAATAAAAACTGGATGTAATTACATCTCTATATAATTTCTGTCATTTGATCTATAATAACACTGTTAACGCACCCCTAGCCCATGCCCCGAAACGTGTCCCTAATATTACGTGTATCAAAAATGCATGGTTCAAAAACAATTTTATTTATTTTTTGACTTAAGTAAAGACACTTAATATAAAGTGGGACTTCAAAATTAGATATGTTCAACACCAAAAAACAAAACATTATTATAAAAAAAAAACCTTTCAGGATGATCTACATATTAACTACAAAATATTTGTGAGATGAATTGTAATAAATTATTTTAATTTGATTGATTGCCATAGTATTATCTAAATGTGTTACAGTATTTCTGTGTTGAGTGACATAGCAAGGCATTCTCTTTCTGTTTAGATCCTGAGGAGTTCCTCAATATCCTGTTTCATCACATCCTGAGAGTCGACCCTCTTCTCAAACTTCGGTGCGCCTCTCACACTCTTCAAATCCACGCTAGAATCAGCATTCTCGGGAGCTCCACGAAGCTATTATCAAAGAGTGGTGTTTTTGTCTTTGTAAAAACATGATTGTATCATTTGCAGGTCTGCAGGACAGAAGGTTCAGGACTGTTACTTCTATCAAATCTTTATGGATAAGAAAGATAAAGTGCTGGTGCCAACCAGCCAGCAACTTCTGGAGTGGTCCTTCATCAACAGTGATCTCAAATTTGCAGAGGTATGTACACAAGACATGCTCTGGATCTTTCCTCTGTGAACAACATAATTAGTGGAGAGGCCACTTTCACTTCCATGTTTTATTGTTCTTTACAACATATTCTTTTATTTTGCTATGAAAAGAAAAACAAAAAAAAACATTTTAAATCTTTTTTTTTTTTTCATATGTACTGTATGTATTCGGGGTTGGTAAGATTGAATGTTTTTTAAAAAGTCTCTTATGCTCATCAAGGATGCATTTAAAAAAAAAAATCCAAAATAAAGTAAAAACAGTAATATCGTGAAATTGTAATTTCGATTATTTGAATAGGAAGTATAAAAGAACTGCAACTATTAAAAATAGAAACCTTTTGTAATATCCTAAATGTCTTTACGGTCACCTCTGATCAATTTAATGCATCCTTGCTAAAGTGACATTTTGAATTTTTCCCAAATAAGCACATAGAAAAAACACCCAATTAAAAGAGAATTAAAAGATGAATTTAGAGGAGAATTTACACATCCAAATATGTTGGTTAGTGTGGTGCAAGGACAAATGAAGTGTACTGACATGTTCTTGTCTGTTTGTTTCTGTCCAGGCCCCTTCTTGCCTTATAATTCAAATGCCTCGTTTTGGGAAGGACTTTAAGATGTTTAATAAGATCTTCCCTTCTCTGGAGCTTGACATCACCGATCTATTAGATGACAGTGAGTCAGTTCAGTAACTGATTTGATTTGTGCTGGTATTAGAATAACATTCCACATACTAAAGTAATGTATCTGTGTTTGAGATAAAGAACTAATATTATTGTAATATGCATCATTCTGGCTGTGCTTCATTTTTTTCTGTGTTTAAAGGAAAATTATATTAATGTTTTTGTCAGCTCCTAGAGAATGTCGAATTTGTGGTGGCTTAGCTCTTTACGAATGCAGAGAGTGCTATGAAGATTGTGACATCACGCCAGGAAAGATCAAGCAGTACTGCGAGAAGTGCAATACACAGGTAGGACACAGACACAAACATGCTCTTCTAGCTCTAAGAACATTGTTATCTTCTCTGCAATACCTTTCATATCCACTAGATGGAGACTTTTCCAAATGAATAATGCTGAAACACTCTTATCCATAGTAGTTCCTTTCAGTGGTTAAATATACATGATTGTGCAGATTTATGTGTACATGTTTTTTCTGTATATGTGTTCACTTCCTGCAACTTTAGGTACATCTGCACCCACGGCGTAAGTCTCATCGGTATGTTAAGTTATCGGTCCCTAAAGAGCTACACGAGTCGGTTTGGAGACAGGGATCTTACCCTCACCAGCAGATGGAGCTATTTGCCGTGCTCTGCATTGAGACAAGCCACTATGTCGCCTTTGTCAAATACGGATCCGCAGACTCGGCCTGGCTATTCTTCGATAGTATGGCTGACCGTGATGGTACAGAGGACCTTTTATCTAATATAATTTCTATAAAATCTAATATAAATGTAATAAAACTCTCACTTCTTGAGTCACAATAATGAATAGACTCATTATTCTTTAATTGTCAACTTTTTTTCTAACTCCTTTTTTCTGTTTTTGGTGGCAGGTGGTCAGAACGGGTTTAACATCCCACAGGTTTCCCCATGCCCTGAAGTAGGGGCCTACCTGAAGATGACCCCGGAGGAACTCCACGCACTGGACCCCAAGAACATCCAGGGCTATGCACGCAGACTTCTCTGTGACGCCTATATGTGCATGTACCAGAGTCCCACCATGAGCCTCTATAAATAGAGAAGGAGGAATAAAGAAGGATGGAAAGGTAGGAAAGCAAATGGCAGAGAGATGAGGGAACAAGGGAACAGAGGAAAGGGGCTGTAGTGAAGAGAGAATGAGGAAGAAAAGAAAGAAGAAAAGTGCCCAAGAAGATGCACTTGAGATTGAATCTCCCACATCCAGTTACCTCATCCTCTCTTCTGCGTCTCTCTGTACATACTGCAGGGTAAATACGGTCATGAGAGTGAAGGCAAGATCAAGAGAACGAACAAAAAAGCCTATTTGCACTGTGTGAGAGCATATGTGTTTGTTGAAGTGTTGTTGTTGTTTTCTCTGATTTGTGCCGTCTTTGGCTCAGCTCAAACTCTTGAGTGTTCAGAGCGGTGTTTTGCACGGAGAGAATTCGCAATCTTTCCAGCCCTCAGGTGTTTCGCAGACGCTCACTCACCTGATGGCTTCACATTCGCTACGCACCGCCAGAGCTGACCCCTCCAAACAGCAACACATTCTACCCCTGTAAATGAAACCTTGGATGAATGTCCAAAACAGGATGTTTCTGTTCTGTCTGAATGCCTCCACTCATCACCAACCCATTTTAATGCACTGCAGCGTCCAGCATTAATTATAGTTCAGACGCACTGTGTGTAGTCCCTGTTTTTGCCTTTGTATTTTGCTGTGAAGTCTTTGTCTGGTGTGTTCACATACAGCAGAGCCCTTGACTGCCATGCACGGGTTCCAGATCAAGACAGAAGAATGAGATGATTAAGCACAGGGGTTTTTTTGACATGAAGAATTATATAATTGAGCTTTTTCTTGTTAAAATAGGAATTATTTCATTTTATTATAATAGTTTTTTTTATAAATATGGATATTATGTTATTTTAAATATTGCAAAAAATACTAGCAACTCCCCAGGCCATGCTCTCAAAGTCATAAATTAGCTGTAAATTACTTCCTATAGATACAAGCCAAATTTGGCAAGTATTATGATAATATTATGATATTCCAAAGGTTACTGCTTTGCAGTCAAGGACGTGTTCATGTTATAAAAAACCTATTTCTAGTTCCTATTTGTATATGACATGCTCTGGTTTGAGTGTTCACGGCTGAGGCTGAGTGGGCAAGCGCTGTTTTATGCTAAACTGCAGTGCTGATGGCTAATTTGCAGAAACACTGTTCATCAAGATACTGGTTTGATGCACTGTGCACATTTTTGCTATGGGTTATCGGACTGTTTACACATCCTGGTTTAAACTAAAGAGTCATGAAAAGAAACTTGCATTGGGATCGTTTTGTAATCTCTGCTGATGTAACTGTACACTATGGGAGAGATTCTTCGTGAGCGACTGTAATGGGAGAAAGAATGACGACTGGTGTACTTGTGTAAAATGAAGCCAGGTGGACTTTATTATATCTGTGCTGTTCTCTTAAATGTTAACTAAATTAAAACGCCATTTTGAAAACAGCTTTTGTGGTAATGGCTGCACTGCTTTTGATTTGCTCATTTGGGATTGTTTGTTAAAATGTGTTTGTTTTTTAAATAGAAGTGAAGACAAGCAAGAGGAAGGAGTGCAGTTTGTATGTGTGTGTGTGAGTAAAGTGAATATTTACCTCGAAAAGTTGACAGATGTGCCACCAAGCTGTGAAAATCTCTGTCTTCGCATGTCACTGAGATGTGTGCAGCATTTGTGCTTTGATGCCAGCAGTGTTTTCATCTGCCACATGTGTGAGTGTGAGTGTGAGTGTGTGTGTGTGTGTGTGTGTTTGCAGACGGACGAGGTGTGTTTGGATGTCCATTGCCTTCAGTGCTGTCATAAGTCTGTGAGTGTTTGTGTGGGGATTTGTCAACTGCCAGCGGTGCTGCTTTCACCTGTCACCTGTGTGGATCCCATTAACATGGTGTCACGACCAGGGCATGATGTGGTCTCGGACGCAAACACTCCAATGCTGGAAAGATGGGGCTGATCTGTAGTGAAGGCTCAAAAACTACAGTCACAAACACACCCACACACACACACACACACACACACACACACACACACACACACACACACACACACACACACACACACACACACACACGCGCGTGCGCATGCCACATCTAGTCTTCACCCCTGATGACCTCATATGGTCACGGCCATTACAGTTGTACCAGTAGATGAGGAATATCAATAAACAACATGTACTTATTGTGGCTTTAGGTGTATGATTTGTTTTAGTGTTAGTTACTATAATGGATAATTTACTCTTATTACTATAATACATACAAGCGATGTTTAAGAAGGACACATTTAAATACCAAATTGCTACCAAATTTCCCAAATCGCTGATTGTCCACTGTACATTTGGATACTCATAATAGGTCTGTTGGTGCTTTATAAATCATGGGTTAACACTTTACAATAAGGTCTCATTTGTTAACATGAATTAATGCATTAACTAACATGAACTAACAATGATATAAACTTTTATTAAATTTTGTTAATGTTAGTACAATTCTTAAAAATATATTAGTAAATGTTGAGATTAATGATAATTAAGATGAATAAAAGTATTGTTTATTGTCAATTCATGCACTGTAAACAAACATTTTTCAAAGTTCTAAATAAAACTGATTATTGGAGTACATTTGCAAGAAAATACTATTTCGGTGTTTGTACTTAAAAAAATTCACTAATGTGTTACTTGCCATTACTTTGTAATTATTTGTGAATTTTACTAGCTATTTCTTTGTGAAAATTGTTTCTACACCATTTTTTTTCAGCATGTTAACTAATGGTAACAAATAAATCCTTGTTGCAAAGTGTTACCAAATAATTTTTCTCCCCCCAAAAAAATGAATGCCTGCGAACTGCACAATTGTCATGCTAGTATTTGTCATCAGAACAGCTGGCACACAATGTTCTCATGTAGCTTTATGCTGTGGCGTATGCCTGCTGTGTGCCACGTGCTAATTTCTCCTACGTTGGCACTACCTGACCAGATGGAGAACAGTATTGCCATGCTCACCATTAGAGTATAGCCTCGGGGGGTGAATGTCAAATAAAATCAAAGCATATGGATTCCTTCTCTGTCGACTTTGATTCTGATAAACAGAAGATCTGCTGTTGTCAGAGGTTTACTTCAGAGTCTCCCGATGAGTGTTCAGGAATGTAACGATTGGTTTTGTGTGTGCCTTTGCTATGTGGATGGAAAATCCATGCTCTGTACACTCAAAAAAAAAAATTGCTGCTTGTTCAATATACTTAATAAGCTAATGGAACACAGTTCTCAAACATTTTATCACTTTAATTTCATTGTGTGCAATTTACCTAAATTTTTTAAATAGAACTTTACTCAATCCGTTAATGCTGGGATGGTGAGAAGATTTCTAGTTCCCAGCATGCTATGCATGAGACTGGATGGGCAGGATAAATGTTGAAATTAAGTGTTTTAATGTGTTTTTAAGCGAGATGAAAAAGGGCAAAACTTATCTTGAGTTTTGGCAGTTACCATAGTGCTGAAAAGTGGCACTTGTGCTTAGGTTGAGAATGCTGGCTTGTGACTGCTGTATACATATTTTTTCTCAATGAGCACTTGGACTCTACACGACCACTTTCACCTTTCCACTGCTATACATTTGGTGCAGCGCAGTGTATGGAAAATGAGATCTTGAGTAAGTGTCCCACAACAGGCAAAGCAGGTATTTAAAACCTCTGGAATTCATTACTAAGAAGTTATGTTTACTTTAATTTAATATATAAAAAATAATTAATGAGGGTTCACTTCGCTTCACTTGGGTGTTTATTATTTTTCAATAATCCAATGGAACAGAATAAATTATTTAGCTTAAACCATGGTTATGACACCTTAAGACATTGTTCAGATTTATTTCAAGTTTTTTCAGGTTTTCTCATACCAAGCCTCCGTTTCTAATTCCAAAACATTGTTTTAGAGCTAATAACTTGGTCACTAGTAACTTGTGGGGTTTTCAGTTCTTTTGCTGTTGTATGTTGTAAGGACCTTTGAAAGAATTTGGCAAAGTGATATAAAACTGTAATGTGATTGACAGATCTGAAACTGCTTAAAAGCTGTGCATTTACTGCACACCTTAGAACCATCCAAGCAATCAACATCCCTTTGAAAGTTAATAGGAATATGAAGAAAGAGTTTGCTACTACTAAAATTTGCAATGGGAGAATGCTATACCTCAAGCTCACATAACACTGTGATTTTAGTGGAAATACGTTGATGGGAATAGTCAGTAACTGCAGATATTACCTTTTTGCTATCCCCGTGTGTTACATACAGTACAAAAAAAGTTTAGCATGCTTGTTTGTGTGATGCTATGCTTATTGATTCTCGCGATGCTAGCTAGTTTTTTTTTTTGAGCTGCTTTGACACTTCATACTCAATTTAGCTTTAATACAAAGTTGATAAAATTCCATGTGAAGAAATCTAATTTCCAATATGTGGTACCACTGTCTACATTTAAATTAAGTTAAAAAAGATATTTTGGAGTGAATAGCAATAGTGGTTTGAAGCTTCTGAGCTGCTGACTTGACAAAAAGATAAAGTAGAGGCTTATGTTCAAAATGAATGAAAAGATACTCAAGAACACTGTGTGTAATTACACATCTTTCACAGGTTGACAAAAACTCAAGTTATTAGGTAAGGCCTTCTGTTTTGCCTATATCTTGTTTTCCATATGTCTATATTCTGTGCATTTAGTATGGAAATGCACAAACATTGGCTGTGATTTGACAATAGTTTTCTGATTCACCGTCTAATTCTTTACCTATACTGCTAGTTGAAATTCACTCCTTGAGCTGTTTCTTCTCATGTTCCCAAGGGAAAACATCCACTGTGTGTGAGAGAGAGAGAGAGAGTAAATGTTTAAACCTACTCAGACAACAGGAAAACAGTGATTTCCAGCAGTAAAGATGAAAGGGAATCTCAAGACAGAGCAATTTAAAGTCAATCAGTACTAACCCAATATAAACCCGGATAATCACTTTAACTTCATCCTAACAGCAGCTTTTATTGGCCATCTTCAAAGCTCAAAAACTGGAGCAGGTAATGCTGGAATGATGACTGATGATAGCATTACCTCTTCTTATTCACCCTTCTTTAAACAGTCTCTGATTAAGTTTCATCTTGAGCTCTTAATGACCATCTTGATGTCTGTGATCAAACTTAGATCAAACTTTATTTGTATGTCATTTTAGTTGCAAAACACAGTCTTCACTAATCAAAGGGGAATTTATAAAGGTTTACGCACAGCAAAAGGTGTGAGAGATAAGAGAAAAATACACATTGTGTGCTTTTCGTTTAATACATTTTGGTGTGTATCTGTATAGTCATTAATGAGCTGTGTAGCAGATGCTGCTGTTGGCTCTGAAGAACAGGTGTTGCAGAGCTACATATGCAGCGTGCCTGTGTAAAATATTTAACCTCATAACAGGCAGCACACACGGTGGCATGTGTAAGGTGCTAAAAGCAGTTAGCATCGGTGTGCGACTTGTGGCAGGACTGGTGTGTCTGACTGCACACCTGCACACCCTTCATTCTCTCTTCTCTCCTTTCGTCAGTCTCTAACACTGCATTATTTACAGGTGCTTACTAGGACACAAGGAAGTCTTATGTGATTTTTTTCCACAAGTTCTAGCTGCTAGCTTTTTATTTGAATATATTTCATATAGCCAAAATTGTGGGATCATTAAGCTTTTTCTTTCTTTCTTTTTTTGGAAAGAAATTAATACCTTTATTCAGGAAGGATGCATTAAATTGACAAAAAGAACATTTATTCATCAAAGGACCCTGAAAAATGTATTGTGATTTCCACAAATGTGACTCTGGTCCACAAAAGCAGTAATTCGGTAATGAGCTTAAACACTGGGGTATATTCTTTTATATCTATATACCTTTTTTTATCTATATATATTCTTTTATGCCAAAAATCATTAGGATATTAAGTAAAGATCATGTTCCATGAATATATTTTGTACATTTCCTGCCGTAAATATCAAAACTTAATTTTTGATTAGTAATATGCATTGCTAAGAACTTCATTTGGACAACTTTAAAGGAGATTTTCAGTATTTTGATTTTTTTGCACCCTCAGATTTCAGATTTTCAAATAGTTGTATCTCTGCCAAATATTGTCATATCCTAACAAACCATACATCAATGGAAAGCTTATTTATTCAGCTTTCAGATGATGTATACATCTCAGTTTCGAGAAATTTACCCTTATGACTGGTTTTGGGGTCCAAAGTCACAAATATATAATATAAACAGTATTAATAAAAAATATTTTCAACATTGATAAAAAAAAAATTTTTAATGTTTCTTGAGCACCAAATCGGCATATTATTTATTATTAAGTATGATTTCTGAAGGATCATGTGACACTGAAGACTGGAGCAATGGCTGCTGAAATATCAGCTTTGCCTTCACAGAAATATGTTACATTTTAAAATATAT